CCCCAACCCCCCTATTTCCTTGCTTAGACTCTCTCCTTCATCTGATTCCAGGTCTTGTGTTCCTCGTTTCCGGCGACCAGACAAAGAGGGCTCTGCTACCCAATGAGATCACCACCCTGGACACAGTTCGCGCGCTTTTTGTCCGCGCCTTTCCTGATCTGACCCTGGAGATGCTGGAAAGCCCTAGACGTAAGATCTACATCCTGGACCCAGCCACCAGCATCTACTTCCAGTTAGAGGATTTGGCGTAAGTCTTGTTTTTCCTTCGTTCCAATTAGGAAAAACGAACGAAATCATGTTAACAGGCGTCTGCTCTTGGCAAAATGAGGATTGCATATCGATTTATAACTTACCCCCCACCCCCCTTTCCTTCCCTTTCCTTCCCTTTCCTCAGTCACCACAGAGGTTACTTAGTTTTGATAAATGTGACAAGTGTTTTGTTTAGCAGAGGTTAATAGTATACTATTCTTTTCTGTGGATTGAGGTGAGGGCATCATAGTTTGTCTTAAACCTACAGTTCATTATGTAGGACCAGTTTAAAAGACAGTGGCATCGTCTCTTATTACACGTATTTGTTTGTTTGTTTATTAGAAAATTGCTATGCTTTTATGTATATTAATTATGTTCCCACAAAGCCAGCATTGATTTCTTGACCATGTCGATGAATAGCTTTTGGTTAATATGACATTTGATAGACTGAATGCATGGATTCTACTATGTCAGCTGTATGCACACTTAATTTGATCCCAAATATCGTTACTTTTCTAATAATGTGGGAGTTTTTGCTTGGAACGGTGTTGAAAAGAACGCAGTTCTACTCCCCATGTTTCAACATGACTTTTAACTCTTTTCATTTGAACTTTTCTGTTGGTAACGTGGGTGGCAAGCTATGCTGTAGTTTGATCCTTTTTTTTCTCCTTGAAACGTCTATCATCATTATCTCTTCTCTTTCTTTTCTTTGTATGTTACTGTCTAGTTAAACCTGTAATCTTCGGCACCTCTTCTTTCCTTCGTATGTTACTCTTTCTTAAGTTACACTGCTAACCTTCGGAAGGTATATGACTTTCTAATTGTGCTGTAAGTGCTGCTAAACACTTCCTAAAACTTAAACTCAGTTGTTGACCTTCCACAGCGAGATAAAGGACCGGTCAGTGCTGAAAATCCATGAGACAGACAGTGACGAGCCCCAGAAGGTCAAGGAGAGACAGGAGATCAGAGGTCGGACTGTCCAGATGCCCACCAGTCGGCCACACTCACGCCAGGGTTATGCTGAGGTGCCCGCGGGACCGACAGAAGTGGTCAGCATTAATTACTTTTTTTGGGGGGAGGGGGGGTGTTTTAGCTTTCTTTTTTTTTTTTTAGTGTAGGTATTTTCACGCCCCCGTCAACACAATAAAGATCATTTACGAAGCAGGCTCCTGACCCTGCCTGTCAGAACCAACACGGGCTGAGAAGGATACAGCACCCCAGCCGAAAAACTGAGAGACTCGATAAAAAAAATCCTCTCCACTCGGGAATCGAACTCAGGTCTCCTGTGTGCGGCAGCGAAGCGCGCACCCACTACACTACAGACGTCGGTGTATTCACTGTAGAATGACATTTTTGTGTATTTAATTTGTTTGAACGAGGAAGCAACCTTGACAGGTAAAAGAACGCAGCAGAAAGTGTCCGTTTAATTCAACGCTTTATTCGATTTAAACTGATGTAATCTTGATATTTTCTCTTTTGCACCAACAATGATGGGTGGTTAGCGAGTGCTCATTGCGTGGTTTGCTCCTTCTTTCCCGTCAAACACATATCATCTTTATCTCTCCTTCTTTCTTTTATATTTGTTACTCTTTTATGTGGGTGGTTGGCGGGTGCTCTGGTTTGGTTTGCTTTTTCTTTCCTATCAAACATTTGTCGTCTTTTTCTCTCCTCCTCCTTTTTTGTGTTGGTTACTCTCTTGTACCACCTTTAATCTTCGGCACTTATATGACCTTATTGTGTTGCAAGTGCCGTAAAACACTTACTAAAACAAACTCTTTTATGGCACCTCTAATCTACGGCACTAAAATGACATAATTGTGTTACATATGCCGAAAACCTCTTACATACACTAAAACAACCATCTGAGCTTATGGAATAAGAAAGTCCAAGCATTGCAATCGAAAGTTAGCTCATGAATTTCTTCTGGCGTTTATGTAGCTCAACTATTTGAGTTTTTGTTATTACTTACGGAATGCCGTGGATAACGTAATTGCGTTGCAAGTGCCGTGAAACCTTACTTAAAGTTCAAATGAAAGGAGAACCATGATCGCCGATGTATACACACACACACACACACACACACACACACACACACACACACACACACACACACACACACCCACACACACACAATTCGTTCATGTGGTTGAATGATGCATCTGATGTGAATGAAAATGTAAACCTGCATGTGTTTTTACGATCCTGTACAGCCAAGAAAAATGTCCCTCTGGCATAATAAAGTATTATCTTATAATATAATATATATCTCTCGCAGATCTAGCTCTTCATGATGATCTCCCATGCATGGTAATCTCTTCTGACAATTTGTTTCCTCTGTTCCCACAGTTCTCCAAGTCTGCATCCCTGCCACCCCAAGCCGCGCATGTGTACTCGGACATGATGCAGGACCAGAGGATGCCGTATGAGGTAGACCGACGGTCAAGGTCACGAACACCGGAGCCAGCGGAAAGGCCAAGGTCATTGTCTGCTGGGGCCTCCTCTCGACAAAGGTCTTCTTTTCTGTGTGGCTGTAGCGTCTCTTTCCTCCCATCCTTTTAAACCTCTCTTTTTAAGTTTTTCTCGTCGTCGCCTACCCTCATCTCTCTCTTTTTCTCTTTCTCTTTCTCTCTCTCTTTCTCTCTCTCTCTCTCTCTCTCTCTCTCTCTCTCTCTCTCTCTCTCTCTCTGTTCTGTTCCCCTCTATCTCTCTCTGTGCCTATTCATCCTCCTCTACCTCTCTCTTCCTCTTTCTCACCCACCTCCTACTTCTCCCCCTCCTCCTATCTTTCTCCTTTTCCCCCTTTATATGTAGCATCCCCATCAATTCAGTTGATATCACGTTTGACTTTGGAGCGGATGGCCCTGCTTCGAATTCTCAATTGAATCGTTCTGAAGTTGGGTTGTTTTGGGGAGCTATGAAGGCTCTCCATCCATTTGGCTTGGTCGTATCAGAGATGGACGTTACATTTTGAGGACTCACCTCGTTACCTTACAAAGTTGATAGTGACATTAAACGTGAACGATTTTGCAATTTCACGTGAGATTTGGTTGGAGGGCGCAACTGGTAGGTCCCATATCTTTTTTCCCCCTCTACTGTTTCTGTCTATGTATGTCTTGCTTCAACACTGCACTATTATGACTAATGACTATTATTGTATCAATGCGCTTTTCTTTACTAAAAATCTACACTCAAATGTCAATTGGCCGTCCTCGACATCTTAACACTCACAGAGAGGATGGTTGGTGGGTGTACTGGTGTGGTTTGCTCCTTCTTTCCAATCAAGGCGTTTGTTTTTCTTTTGTAACAAGCCCAATCTTCTCCACTTATGTTATATGACATAATTGTGCAGCAAGTGCCGTAAAATTTTTACTGAAACAAAAATATTTTAATGCTCTTCTTGAGTTAGTTATACCCACGGCCGCGCAGTTTGTTCATTTCTGCTATCCTACTGGGCTACTTTATATATTGCCCTAGTTCGATTCTCTAGAGTGACATGATATACGCTAGTATATATATATATATTTTTTTTATTTTTTATTTTTTTTTTTTAAATATTTTTTTTTCAAAATTATTATTTTTTTACCTTGAATTGGTTTCCACCCACAGATACTCCCACTCCCCCGATCGACTGCCCACCCCAGAGCGGGGACTCTCTCTCAACCCGATACCGGAGAACAGGCAGCTCACTCCAGGCTATCGGGAACAGCCTCCGGGCTTCTACGACCCCGCCTACCGGGGCGGGCCCGCCTACCCCAACGCCATCTACGACGCCCCTGGAGCCTACCAGGGCTACGCCCCTTCCTCCCCCGCGCCTCAGGGTCAGGCGTATGTCGCCCGGAGCACGCGCGCCGCCCCGCTCGCTCACCCACAGAGGGCCGTAGCCCCTGCTTCAGATATGAGTGAGTGCTTTAAAAAAAAATTCTTCTTCTCCGTCGTCTTGTGGTTCAGTGTTGTGAAGTTGAATGTCGTGTGTGCGTGTGCGCGCGCCGCCCGAGTCGCTGCCTTCTGTCCACAGGTTTTGACCTCCTCTGCCGAAACGATTGTGCGATTGAAGGCTGGTCACTTAATCTGTTATTTAAAGTGTGAAACTGCAGTCTGTTAATCTTATGTTATTCCTGTATAATATTGAAATATCAATCTTCTCCTTTTTTCTGGTTGATGTAGTTGATGGGAAAAGGTCTTGCACATAAATATCAGCTTTCAAATGTTTAGGTCTGTCAGCTTATATCATTTTCCCCTTTTTTGTGTTAAGGTGTTGGTTTTGACTGAAGTCTGCCTTCCTTCCCTTCCACGCATACAGAGTAATACACACGAGCAAACACCTGTGCGCGTTCAAACACACGCGCGTCCACTCATAGACTCACGCAGGTGCACGCAAATCAAAGGCTAACGTATGAGAATACAAACAAACAAACAAGCAAACACACACACACACACACACACACACACACACACATACACACACACACACACACACACACACACACTCACTCCCT